GACATTTCAAGACTGAGGTACACTGAGGTCTCCTCACAGCGTCTGACTGACAGGTTATTTCTCTCACAGGGAGAGGTGTTTACCTGACTGCATTTAAAAAAGAGGGTGAGGGGTGGAAGTGTGGGGTGGGGGGGTGGTGGGGTAAAACGAAAATCAGAGAAGGATTAATGAGGGGTGGAAGTGTGTGTGTGTGGGGGGGGTAAAACGAAAATCAGAGAAGGATTGTGGCGCAGACTTGATCTTTTCTCTGAGCTGAAGACAGAGCCACTGACCTGTGTCTCCGTGATGCGTCGCTTGGATTTACGGGTCTCTGCCCCCCCCACTCTCCTCTGACAGGTGGGTGACACTGTGCTGCAATAAACAAAGGACAATATTCAAAAATAAAATGTATACTTAAAATATATAATAAATACATAAATAAGTAAATAATTATACTATGAAATTAAATCAAGTTAATCAAATATATGAGCTCAAATATTTCTATTAACAAAGCAGCAGGAAACATGCCTATTCAATGTAATGTTATAACTGGAGCCATATAACAGGAATTCAAACATGAAGGAACGTTACGTTGAAAGAAAAGCAAACTCATAGACCATTATCATGATGACTTGTCTTGTATCTTTTACAGGATCAAAACTATTTTTTTCCCAGTAAATTGCATGCCACTCATTATGGGATATCTGGTGTACACAGCTAATGTTATGGCCTGAGGGCAGTTGTTTTGGATATAAAATACTTTTATTATATTTCCTACAATTTTCCAATCAGTTTTTTCATTTCTAACGGCCAGGACAATAGGTTTCATAATGTTGGACGCAAACAAACAAAAAGTCAATGTTATTATCGTTTTGTGTACGAAGATGGAAAATCTATGTTATTCGCTGGTGGAATGAAGGGCATAAAAAGTTCTTTAAACTAATATATCTGTAACTTCTGTGCATGTGTTCGAACAATGAAAATCAGGATCAGGACAGGTTCGAAAATTGAAGATGTAGGAGGCAAATCCACGGGTTATTTCAACTGTCACTTTAATAATCACTATTAAAATGTCTTACATACTACTACAGGTATTCTATACTACCTGTGTACATCTCTTTGAAAATTTGTAAAATTTACGACATTTATAATCATAATGACAGAACTGACCTTTTGCGATGTGCGATGTTGGTTGGCGGTTCGGTGATCAGCGGGGAGGAGTCAGTGATTAGAGGAGGTGGAGCTCGGACCTGCAGACCAAACAGACACTTCTTCTTTTTGATCTCCTTTCCGGAGACGAATCTGGGAAAACAGTGAGTACACAGCAGGTCAGTGCCAAGTTAAAGTGTGTCATTACTGATTGCCATTTGGTCGTCAGTAACAACTGTAAGTTTACTGTAAGCGAAGAGATGATTCTCTAAATGATTCATAATCATAATTCAATAGAAAAATCGGACTGTTGGCTTCTGCTGAGTCATCATCTGTTTTGAGCATATTGACGTCAGAGGTTTAGATGTTAGAGGGCAACAACAAATAATCCAAAAACTGCAGTGTTTGTGTGGCTCAAGGTCGACATTGTCAATTTTCAACCAGTTTTCTAAATGCATTTTCAAGGCAAATGATTTACCAAACAGAAATGAATCAGTTAGTCTTTGTTTTTTAAATGATATATTATTGGCCCAATATTAGTCATCATTATGTAATATCTAATAAGAATTTTTATCATTTTTTTCTTCCTATAATTAAAACCCCATAACGCAATAAAAACGGAAAAACGGCTGTATATGAAAGTGAAAGGCACTAGATGCAGCTCATTTTAATAATCTATTTTAATAATCGAGGGATTGCATGCAGAATGTTGGTGCCAGAAACTCATACAGTGTTTTGGACAGATAAATAAATTAATATTCCCAGACGCTCAATAGTATCTTAGGTGTAAAAAAACTTCTGTCCCCTAGGGGGTGCATGGCAGAAAATAATTCACAAGCACCTTAGTGCGCAGGCAACACTTAACTTCCACCACTGCCCCACTAAAATCAGAATCGGTTCATATCGAAATTGGAAATCAAGTGTTTGGACAATATCAACATATCATAGAAGGTCACAAAGTTAATGTCGGACATCCCTAGACTTCTCAGTTGGGAAACATATTTGCAGTTCTTCCTCTTCCTCTGCCAAACAATTAAATTCACAGTGTCTGTTTCTGTTGTGTCCTTCTGTACCAGAAATTACTTTTTTTCTGAACACCTCCTTCACATGGAGCACTAATCTTCAGTCCTCTCATGTGGGGTCAGAGGTCATTCTTCTCATCACTTACCTGTCCTTGTGGGAGTTCAGAGCGTTCAGGAGATTTTGACAGCGTTCCTGCTTCGGTGTGTCAGAGAGCTGGAAGGACAGCCAGAGAAAAGAAGAAGAAGAAATCAAAGCAGTGTTTACACGGGGAACAGCCATCACACAGTGGACCTCCAGTGAATATAATCATCTCCTCTGCAGCCTCAGACAGCAGTGATGTACTGTAGATATGGACAACAACTACTCGCTGTAGATACATGCTGTCGGAAGACGGAGCAAACAATGCATTTAAAGCAGCTTAAAGGAGAAGAGAAGAGGAAAGGCGCCGCACGTTCACTCTTCCATGTTTATTCACCGAGATACAACTTCTGACAGTAAACCAGATGCTATCGCAGCTTGGAACTTTATCACTCTGCTCCAAAGATTTATGAAACTGAATGTAGCAGTCATCGTGTCCAGGGACTCACAGGTACTGAAGGTTCATAATCAGATGGAGATTAGAAAATGCATCTGATTCATCTTTATTTGCTAAATAATTTTGTATGCATTTTAATATTTTGGATCACCTGAGAGGCTTCGTACCTGACGACTGTTTTATCACAACTCTTTCATGCTATTGGTCAGAATGTAATAATGTACCTGGAATCTAATCTTTTTAATATAGATTTTCCTTTTAGATCAATATAAAATAGTTTCAAAACTTCTATTCGAAGTGCGTATCTACTAAGATGTTACTAGAATTAATTTAGAGATAATCAGAAATTGACCACAGTTTGTGTCAATTGTGTGTTTGTTTCAATATTGAAATACAAAATAGTACTAGGTAAACAGATAAACTAAAACCGGGTACTGCAAATGATAAAAAAAAAAAGCTGTGTGCCTTTAACTGCGTGCAGTGACTTTACTTCGTATTTGGAGGTCATTCTTTTACCCGACACGGAAACGTAACTTAAACAGGGGTTAATGGGCTTTGTGTCTCAAAGGCACGATGAATGGAAGGATTGCACATCATTTCATCATTGAGCTCAGATGAGGAAAGACAAATACCGCTCCTAAAAGCAGAGAGTCCCAGTTCTCGTTGGTGAAGGACAGGATTTCATGGTCAAAATCAAAGTACTTCCTCTTGCAGCACAGAGAGAGATGGTAGAGAACTAAATGAGCCAAGTCCACCCTGTATGGAGATACATGAGAATATTAAACAGGTCATTATTAAACAGTGAAAACGTAACAAGACTGTAGTTCTCACAAATACATATATGGAGTATCATGCCATTTACTTTGGTCCTATTCTATAAAGAATTTACACAGAGCTAAAAAGGATCAATTAGGTTTGTCACAGTCACAAAAGAGTCAAACGTTTCTATTGGTGCAGGTGTAACTGACCAGGTTATGGGTAATCTCTGGACAGTCTCTGGTCCCTTGGTACATACTGAACACCGGAACTGATAAAACCTTAAAATACAAAACACAGCAGATAAGAAAAAGAGGAAATATTCTGTTTCTTAAAGAGCCGAAACATTACCTTTGTATTATTATTATTATTCTTTTTGACAGACTCTATTCCACCACATTCCTTTAATATCAAATCTGTAGAATGAAAATAATTTTTACCTTCCACAGAGTCTTTCAAGGTACTTCACTTTCTGGAAACGTCGACAGTCTTTGTGTTTTGTCTCTTTATATTTAACTGAAATGAATCAACCGGAACTGGAACAAAATTGGACAGGTGTGTCCAGCTGTTCCACCGTAATAATATATTCTGTGCCGACTGACCCTGAAGCTCACACATCGCTCTTTTTCTCTTTCCACAACAACAACAACAGCCCGGTGTGCATCTGTCCTTCTACATCCATACGCTTCCTCTGGAAGGTCACGGGCAGAGAGATAAAGCACAGACGGACGCACATGTTTGCTATTCCAACTGTGATCTCACACTTCTCTTTTTCCTCTGTCAAAACCGTTAACAGATGTAGTGACTCCTGGACTCACAGTCTCCCTGAGACACAGTCTTTACGGCTGTGGTAAAGTAAGATTTTGGACGTCTAGATGGAGATGGGAAAACAAAGATGTTTTTCTCAAAATTTTAACAATTAAGTTACAAAATACTCATCAGATTTGCAATTTAAAATTTGGCCAGGAGGTGGTAGTTAAAGTATAAATTGCATTTATACTGTGTGTGTGTATTTTTTTTCTGGATATGAATAATGGGGGTCCTCAACTTACATCAGAATTCCATTCCTTAATTTCCACAATTTACTGTACAGCAGTACCTGTGTCACTCACTTCCTCTAACACAGTGGTGACATCATAATCTAGGACAGGGGTGTCAAACATACGGCCTGCGGGCCAAAACTGGCCCACTACTGTGTTCAATCCGACCTGCTCGATGATTTTGAAAATAAAAAAAGGATGTTTTTTGTAAAATTATATTTCATTAAATGTAAATAATAATATTAAACATCTAATATACTTGTGCTTATTTGCATGAAAACAAAGGCACAAACATTGACATCTTGTCATTTATAGTTAATTAGGTTAAGATTGTACTGGTCCAGCCCACTTCACATCTGATTAGGTTTTATGCAGCCCGTGAACCAAAATGAGTTTGACACCCCTGGTCGAGGACATCAAAACATCAGAGGAGTCTGACTTACGCCTGAGAGCCATAACGAAGGGCAAAAAGTTCCCAAAAAAACAACACAAATAAAAGAAAGCGAATATAGCACAATCAAACATATGGCGTACAACCTGTGAATGTAAACAAAGCTGTCTTCGGCCTATAGCGCTACATGACAACGTAACTGTCCGTAGTGCTCGCCAACTAGTTCCTGTGCGAAATTTGTTTTAATGCAGATTAATGAGGATATGTAGTGAAACAGCTTGGTCTTTTTTCTACAGGTAAAGAAAGCATCATATCCCATGCTATCCTAACTGCTGTGGTAGAAGAGGAGCTGCTGGTGATGTCATAAGGCTTACTCTGAACACACACACTCTTGAGCACATTCAATTTCACCCTAGTTAATTAATTACCCTAATCAGAGTTAACAGGATAGCTAGCAGCTAATCAGACCGTGGGATGCTCAGTAACGCACCTGTCTCCGTACAGCAGCGGCTTGGTCAGACACTGAGTGCAGGCCTCGTGGAACCACTGGCAACAGCTTTTGCACTGCAGCATCTTCAGGTTCCACCTGTCGGTCAAAGAGAAGACACCGAGATGCTTTAAGAACACGACTGAATAATTGAACTTTTACTGCTAACATACAGCATGTCACCTGAGACGTCTGCATTTATGTATGTCTGAGGATGGCGACTGCTGCTGCCTTGGACTGTTTGTGTAACCAGGAAGTTGTTGTTGTCTGATCAAATGAATGATATCCAGAAATGTTGTTTTTGTTGAACTAAAAGAGTTGGTGTTATTGTTAAGGTAAGTTTGCTTACGCAGGATAATCAATGGTGCTTTTTAGTCTTACAGCGACGGGATGTTGTCTAAGATGCAGAAGAAGATTAGCAAGAAATGTGCTAAAAACCTAGGGAAACAAATGCACATACTAGCCGAAAGTTGGTAACTAAATACATAAATTCTAGGTAATAGAGTGAACAATACATCAAAAATGATATAATAATAATAATAAAATAATAATAATACATTAATTCGAATAAAATATGAATATTATATTAATATAATTGCTATTATTATTGTTGTTGTTGTTATCTGATTAGCTCATATTGGTTATATGAAATATACATTTAAATTAAATTATTAGGTCAATGGTTGCCAAGCAAACTAGGAAGCTAAAGATAATGAGTTAGACATAGTTCTAAAAGACATTTCTTCAGTCAGTATTACATTGTACTTTTTATGTTGGGTTTCAGTAAACATGATATGAAAGGAGACACTGTCAGATGTAAAAAAATAAATTAACAACTTGTTAAACAGAAACTGGAGTTTTTGCACCATTACTATCACCAGCTTCCAGTTACTCAGTTATTGATGGTTATATTCCATGTCCTTAACTGAGAAGGAACATTGGTTTACTCTCTAAGTCTTCAACTGTTCTGTTCAGTTGTCTGTACGGTAATAGAACTAATCTTACAGCAGACCTCGGCTCCCACTCCAGTCCTGATGTTGAACTACTGTACCTCCAAACTGCTGACACTGTTGAGATACTTTGATAAAGTAACACTAGTGGACAGTTCCACAACTGGTTGTAGTGAGAACAGTTACATTTATATGAAGTATCGAGCTTGATACTGATACTGGTATTGTTATATTCGATCAAATCAAATGCACAAATTGAGCACTTGTTCTTTCTACCATCTGATAAAGCTGCTGGACACGCAAATGTGAACTGAGAACCTTTTATTTATAGTGAAATGCAAATTTCAGCCTGGCCTTAGGTTTCAGTCTGTCACAGTGAAAGATGTTGTGTATATTTAAAGGACGCCAAGTTAAAACCTTCAGCAAATACTTTAGTATTAAAATTGAATGGCTGACAGTTTGAGAATAATCCAGCAGAGATCAGTCACACGTCAGTCTACGTTTCAAAAACAAAACAAACTCTGACAAATCCTTCTCATGCTGTTTGACACATCGCATCCACGTCGCTGCACGGGATTAGGAAATAATCCACAAGATGACACATCAGAGGGAGATAGAGGACATGTTGGCCATGTTCAACCATACTCCTCTCTCCCTCTCTCATTCCCTCCCACTCACACACACACACGAATACACACCAACATGGTCTGTTCACTTACTCCCCAGGTCCAGCACAGTAGCAGTAACACTGCTGCTGATTGGTCAGATGCTGTGAGTCCCAGTCCAGAGAGGTCAGCTGGTAAGGTAGTCTGAGTTTCATATACTGCATGAGCCTGGCAAACCGTCCCCGTTTGAGGGCCCCGCCCCTCTGTGAACACAGTTGGAGAACAGAAATGATTAGTTGTTGTTGACCTTGTAAATCACTGTGTCATCGGTAAAGCAATGTAGACAGATCACATTCCATTTGTCTGTCATTCGTCAAGATTCTTGCAGAATATTCCGGGACAATGAGATGCGGAGATGACAGAGTGATGATGAAGAGAGCGGTTTCTCATCTTAGCACATGTGATCAATTGACTTTAAATGTGTTCCGCTCAGGTCCATCATTCTTTTATAAGACTAATAATGATCCACTGCTAATTCAATAATACAATGCCGCCATTAGCTGCTACTGTATCGTCTGTCTCGAAGGTAAGGTAACTCAAAATTAAAACCACATCTTATTTCATATCATAGGAATCCTTATACTGTATATAATTTGTGTGTGTATATGTCTCTGAGTTTTTCAGAGTGCCGGAACGGATTCATTTTTTTATTTCTTATGGAAACAAATGATTCGAGATACGAGCACCTCGAGTCCTGGACCGGACTATGCTCGTATCTGAAAGTATTACTGTAATTACTTGGGCATAACATCCACACTGAAGTTGGTGCTGACAGACCTGGTCACCCTCAGTACACAGTGATGTAAGCTTGTTATATTTGACTGGGTTTTTCCAATATTTCATTGTAAATGTTTTTTCCTTTCCACTGCTGAGCATGAGATGCAGAGATTTGTGGTCTGACCTTGGTGGCAACAGCAAAGACACATTGCCGACATATCCACGAATCGCCGTCAGCTTCTGTTTCAATGGCCGGCGTGTGGCACTCTGGATGATAACCTGTGATGGAAAAAGAGAAGGAGCAAAAAGAGTCCAAGCTTTAAATTCCTGTTTACCTGACAGAACTGCCAGAGTGTAAATAAAGGCAGAGGAAAAACCATGTCTCAGTGTCTGACTGTTTTTTGTCCTGCCAACTGGGAAGAGGTAGAATAGAATAAATAACAATGAATATGATGCAGCCATTGTTTTCTGATTAACAAAATATCACATGAGTGAACAGGAAAGAAATACTCATTAAATTAATGTTTTTCTTGACCAATGGAGGTTGTTCCAAACATCTGGAAGAAAAAAAACTCTTCACTTCACTCAATATTAGTGAAAAAATGCAAAAGGTTTAGTTAACTACAAAACCCTTTAGAGAGCTTGTTGTTGTGTCCACATCAGTAACACTTATCTTCACTGTAGCTGAGACTATGAAGAATTCGTTTTGGAGAATTATTCCCTGATTTAACTTAGGCTGAAAAAAACATGATGATATATTTTGGTTTTAAAACACATTCCTCTCCGTATCTCTCTTGTATAGTTTTAGTATAAAACTCACTACACTGTGGATATAAGCTGTGATTATTAACTGGAGGCCTGCAGGCCAAATCTGGCACGCTGAACCGTCCAGACTGGGCCATGACTGGATTCCAAAATTGTGACAATTTTAGCCATAATATCACGTGGTCCCCAATATTAAAGCAACTTAAAAAAATCAAAATCAAAATCTGAGACTTAAATAACTTTCAGCAATCCCCACTATTTATATTCTGTTATACATAAATGTGATTTTTATTTAATATTATTTGCTTGCCCAGCCCCCATGTGTCTGTCCAGAGGTGCTGTAAAGTCCATCAAGGCTAAATGTGTTTATGTAATTGAGCTAAAATCGAGCTAAACAAATTAAACTTGACATAAATTCATATAATCAGTTTGCTCGGGACTAAGATTTCATTTAAGTAAAACTTTCAAATTATTGGACTTTTTTGACCAATTGCAGCTTGATATTTAAATATGAAGCTGCATGCTTAGCTAAAAGCTTCCGGAAGCTCATTCCTGTTGTATGATAAGGCTACATTTTGAGCCAGTTCAGCATCGTGTTAATTTCCATTCCAGTCAGGACTCAGGTGCACCAACTCCACTCTATCACTTATGATGTGTGGATTTTCTTTCTCTGTGTGTGTGTGTGTGTTTTTCTTAAGAGCAACACTTATTTACCATGCTTTGTCACATCTTCAAGGTCAGTTCAGGAAGCGGTGGAGAAAACCACCTCCTGACAGCGTATGATGAGGCGTGCTTTCTTACCGTGGCGACATTTAAGACAATTTATGAGCGGTTCTTTAAGAGGAGGAGCGTCACAGACACAGCAAACTTCTTCCACCCCAGTAGCAACTAAGACAAACACGGGGAAATGGAGGAAAAAGAAAAAAAAAGGGAGGGGAAGAAATAAATGTGAGAGAAAGGAAGGAGAGAGAGAGAGAGAGAGAGAAGCCAGTGGGATTAATTTATGTATATCGATTCACATTCTTGCCACCTCATTGATTTCAGAGTCTCTTGCAGCCTTTTAGACTTCACTTGGTTTGACGGGCAGATACTCAGCACAGTCCTAACAAGAGTCCAACCCCCCCCCCCCCCCCCCCCCCCCCCTTCATCTGAGGTGAAGAGAGGGGGCGCCATTACCCCGAGCACTCATTAGTCTAATGAATTCATAAATACGCTCTAATGTAGCAATTATATCTGATCATGGACCTGTCAGTGGAGGAGCATCATGCTAACTTTAGATGTAGGTGTTATATACTTTTCTAACTTCCGTTATTCTTTCACCGGCGAAGATAAAAGTCTATATTTAAGACTTATGAGTGTAATAAAAATGTACTATAATATGGGTGGAAAGTATTAAGCCAGGCTTCCCAAGCACTCATTCAGCACCTTAACATTTATCTCACATGAAGCATATGTTTGATTCAACGCAGGAGAGACGATCAAAACATAAGTCGATCAAATTACCCCAAAAAAAGCTAATATTTGGCTAATGTTTAAAAGTACGTCACCAGTGTAGAAATAGTAAGTTAACTAAAATAGAAATTAGCTTACAGTCAATGGTCGCTAACATCTACTATTAAACATTCATAAAATATTTGCAGAACTTATTTTCTTGCCCAATTGTTGTTTACAGACATCTTATTATAAAAACTCAACTTTTTTCTATTGAAATTTGATACTCGCACTCAGAGACCGTGACCCACTGCAGCATCACAGGAACTCAGGAACAATAAAAAGTCTTCTACTCACACGCGTGGATGTCTTTCCTAATAAAAAGTCCTCTACTCACACGCGTGGATGTCTTTCCTCAGTACCCAGAACTCTGAGTTGTCCTCAAATCTCACTAGACAACACCGCTTAACACCGTCAACCTGAGACAGAGAGAAGTGGAGAGAGAGAAAGAGCCAGAGAGATCGTTGAAAACCTTTAAAAAAAAAAAAACTCTAAATGAAAGTATCTTCTGACACTTTCCACATTCACACACTCCACCACGGGCACTTACTCTTTTCACATTGCCGAGATACAGTAGCCCATCACTCCATCTAGTCAACACATCATCTCCTTCACTTACTCCCCCCATCCTGAGGAGAGAGAGAGAGAGAGGGGGGAGAGAGACAGCGGCGCTGGTGTGAAATGGAAATCAGATTTATTCGATGAATACTTTGCTGCCGTTGCTGACGAAGAGGGTTTATGTTGGAGGCTGGCTCCAAGACAGACGCTGCAAAGGGGTTAAATTGTCTTTTCCTCCCTCCTCCTTCTCCTTTTAGACCAAAGCAATACAGCGACAGCCTGTTTTCACCACAGAGGGAGATGAGAGTGAGTACACAACCAGAGAGCAAGACAAATGATGATTGCACACATGAAAAAGGCTGTGTGCGGCGGGCGCTGCATGACGACTGCTGCAATACAGTTTGATTTGAGCAGAAATAAAAGATCACACATGTGCGTGTGTACTTTCCTTCTCTTCCTCCCGCTCCCTCTCTCCCTCTCTGGTCTCTGCTCCCTCCTCTCATTCTAAAAACTTAATTAGATGCTCAAAAAAAAGGGGGGGACATGTGCATCACCGTCACCACCTCCGTATGTTTGAGCACCTTAGTTGTTACAGTGAATGGAACCATACATCAAAACAACACCTTGTGCCTTCTGTCTGTTTGTGTGCCATGTGTGGACCAATGGAAAAGGAGGGAAAAATTAGGCATAAATATACAGTGACGAGTCCATACCTCATCTCACCTCACCTGTCAGGTTGGAACTCCTTTCAGCCTGGGTCACAGTGATTCCTCGTCAGGCTGGACGTGCAGCGGACTCCTCATCTGCTGCTGGATCTCGGCTGGCCAATTACAGATGCGCAGGCTGTGCGTTTGCAAAAAGTGAATGAGGTGCATGCATGTTTGAGTCTGTGCCTGTGCTTGTGTCAGTCAAGGCATCAGCCACAGAGCAGAAGGAGGGAGGAAAGAAGTGGAGAGGCAACTGACTGTCCGTGCGTCTCTCTCTCTCTCTCTCTCTCTCTCTCTCGCTCTCCCCCTCTCTCTCTTTCTCTTGTTTCCCTCTCAGTCTAGTTTGTGCGTCCGTCCTCCACAAAAAGCCGTTTCGTCATGTTCCCATCGCCCTTCCTCCCCCCTCGTCCTGCTCCTCCTCACCCGCTCTAACATTCCCTCTCCTCAACCCCCTCCACCACCTGTACTATTAGAGCGGGTCTGTCAGCAGAGCAGCGGTGGAATCAAGGCTTTTGAGACGCCATCATCCCTCCCTCCCTTCCTCCCTCCCT